CCCCCCCCCCCCACGCACACACACTTACTGGCCAACCCCTGCTGTGGGAATAATGCTAAGGTTGGTGTGGGTGAGTCAGTCCCGGGCATTTGCTGTCTCCGGGTCCTTGAGCGTGAACTTTAGCAATCACGATCTTCCCGTCCTTTGCAGGGTCCTCAATGCGCAGGATCGCACTTTGTGGCTGTTGGGCTCCTCCCAGATGGCGATTCCGGCTGCCCCCTGGTTTGAAGGGACCTCCTGCAGCGCTAAGCCGTGGCCTCAGGAGCAGAAGCCCGGTTTTTTGGGTGTGCGCCTGCTGCGGAGGCCAGGGTGACACGGGCGGGGAAGGTCTGAGGAGGGGGCCGACACACATCGGAGCCTTGGGAGCTGCTTCCTGACAGTTCACGTGCCCATCACCTGTCTTGACGGGCCCGGGATATCACAGGGGGCCTACAACTGCTCCGGACACGGAGGAGTAACTTGTTTATCCCCACAGGGCTTGAGCACAACCTCACACTATTTATGCCTGGAACAACTACCCCGTAGGGCACCTTCCTGGAACTGCTGTCAGGGACAGGGCCTCCTGCACCACGGGGGAGACGCGGCGTGGCTCTGCTGCCTCTGGTGGCCGTGTGGAGCCAGGACGCTCCTTCCGCGCCGCTCTCCCGCACCCCTCTGGGGACCCCGCTCTTCTGTCACTCGGGCTGTGCTGTGGGCATTGTCCTGCTGAGCTCCGGCACGGGATCTCTCGTCAGAACGGCAGAGATCTGCCTTGGTTTTTCTCTCCCACACCGATATGCACCTACACACAGAGCGCCCCCATAACACATAGAGTTATGTAGACACGGTTCTGATTTAAAAATGGGCAAACCTCTAAGAAAGTGCTTGTGAATGGTTCGGGAGAAAAGGTGTCCACGAGTTTAAACAGAGGTTCTGTAAACAGCCCGTGGTGCTCACGTGCGGACCGCACACAACACATGACAAGACTTCGGAAGATTCCAGCACCAAGTGGCAAAGCAGGTATGTGATCGGTACGCTATTTGCACACCACAAATTCAAGTGCGAGGAAACAAAATCCTGTACCTTCCTACCACTAAATTTTTATGCCTAGCACTATCGTGTTTTTCAGCAGAACGATGAATCCGGTGATTTCCGGACACCTCAGCGGCTTCCCAGCCTGGAAGACATCTCGCCCCTGCCCAGGGTTGCTCTCAGGTTCTGAGGCAGGAGGTGGGCGGGGCAGGCCGGAGGCCGCCCCTTATTTCCAGCATGACCTGTCCTGGACGTCGCCCTCTGGCGGTGCTCCCTGGTCGGCGCTGTCTCCCCGCCTTGATGACACTGCCTGTCTCCGCAGAGCGCGCTCTTGCTGTAGCCTCCCGGGAGACACTCGGGCTTCCAGGGTTCACATCTTCTTGCCATGGACAGCGTTCCCTTTGTGGCGAGTCTTCCGTGTCACTGGGGTGGGGAGGGAGTGGTCTGCGGAACCAGGTGGGGGGACCCCTGTATTGTAACTGAGAGAATCGGGGTCAAGAGACACTCGTCCCCTCATCAGTGTTTAATGATTTTTTCTTTCCTTTTCAACGCCCTCCCCCTCCACAGTGAGGAGGCCCTTAGACTGAGGAGGAAGCTGGCGGTCCGACGGTAAGACTAGGGCCCGGTGCTGTGGCGTAGCCTGTAAAGCAGCTGTCCGCAGTGCCGGCATCCTGTGCGGGAGCCAGTTCGAGCCTTGGCTGCTCCATTTCTGATCCAGCTCTCTGCTGTGGCCTGGGAAAGCAGTAGAAGATGGTGCCAGTGCTTGGGCCTCTATGCCCACATGGGAGACCTGGAAGAAGCTCCTGGCTCCTGATTGGCCCAGCTCTGGCCTTTGTGGCCATTTGGGGAGTGAACCAGAGGATGGAAGACCTCTCTCTCCCCTCTTCTCTGCCTCTGCCTCTCTGTAACTCTGCCTGTCAAATAAATAAATTAATTTTAAAAAAAACCAGTGACCTCAAATGGGGGGCCTAAATAGGGTCTCCCTGTTGGATCATAAGAGAGGAGAGCAAGAAACTTCTAGACAAAATAAATTCAAACCTATAACCTTGTAATGGTGCATATGATTATATTATTACACAATGGAAATCTGAAATTAAGTTGAACCTTATTCTAGAGAACTCTGGAAATCATGACAGCATATCTTCAGACACCCTACAGAGCAGAGCAGACTCAAAGGGCATGTGGCAGAACACCTGGCTGAATAGCATGTAAAAAAAAATGTCCCTGTGACATCTCATCACGCTCTTCGTGCCCTAGCTTTATATTAAAAAGCTTATTGAAGGTCTTTGGTAAGGATTTTAGAGTGGTTAAATCCTTTATTACTTAGCAATGGGAGATAAGAACCACCAAGGAAAAAGAGCAGTAAACCAGCCCTCAGGGGTCCGCAGCCTGGGACTCTGGCCCAGGAGAAGGTAACTCAGTCTCTGGGCTCTACTTCTGTAAGACACATGGGATACTTAGTTCAGTGTACTTCCAGCGCTGCAGCCCGAACAGTGCCACATTCTGGTGGAAACTTGGCACTAGCGGGGAATCGGATGTGTGGAAATGAAGGGAAGGGTGAAGACATACACCCACGCTGGGTGCTGCCGGGGCTCCCGGTGTGGGTGAGGACCTTACTAGCTGTGCACGGGTGGGTGTCAGATGGAGAACAGCCAGAGAGCCCTGATGTTCCAGGGAGGGTGAGGAAATTGCAACATCGCAGTGTTCTCTGCAGGTCTGAAGGACCCACGGCTGAAATCAAAGTCCACGTCTCCTCTGAGTTTCACTTTTGACATACTGCACTGGCGGGAGGCGACTGCTGTTCCGATTGGACTCTCATTTTCAGAGCCTGCCTGGGGGATTTGGCTCTGCCGTCAGTTTGCATGAGGCAGCATCGATCCTCCCTTCACCCAAAGCCCTGGGGAGCCAGGAGCCGCCTCCACCCTATGGCTGTCCCACGGTTGTCTCCGGTCGTTCTGTGGACGCCTGCTGTGGGGAGGAAGGACACTCTGGCAGCTGCGGGCTCCACCACAAGGAAGAGAGGGAGGCACGTGAGTGGTCTGCAAACTCCCTGGGGAAGGGCGGTCTGGGGCTTTGGGGCAGTGGACCACGGAGTACAAGTGGGGCACACAGGCAGTGAGGACGCGTCCTGGTAGGCAACTCTCTCACTTCTTGTAAAGCCTTGCATGTCTCACCCCACACCTTTCAAAGTGCTCTGGGAGCTCAGGGGATCCGCTCAGTGTTCCTGTGAAGCAGGCTGGGTGAGGCGGGGCTCCTGGATCAACAATCAGTGAGCCAGGATCCTGTTGCACCTTTGTCACAGCGGCTCTGGGCCCTGACTGCTTTGTCTGTCACCAGGTGCGCAGCTGGGACCCTCAACATGATTGACACCAGCAGAGGAGACACTCTTTTTAAAGTTTATACGAGTGTGCAAGCTCCAAACTTCACAAAACTCAGTTGATTCATTCTCACCAGGCAAACATTGTGGCTGCTTGGCATTTTGGGGATTTACCATTCTAGGATATTTTTTTGTTAGAGAAACAAATCTGATAACTCAGAATATATAGTAACTTGCAAATTTCTTTGACATGGATTTTAATAGCGTAGGGATAGGCCTTGGAACTCAGAATTGTTATTCACCAAGTGCCTAAACATAAACCTCCACTTCCTATTACAACTGAACACTTGTACTTCATTCAGAAAATTAAGTGAAGGGAGCTTTTGGACATTTAGTGACGCATAATGTCTTAGCTCATAGATCTCAACAATATCAAAGTTTACCATATTCTGTATCAACGGCAGTTGTATGGGATTCTTGGTCTATGTTGAAACGGTAAATTGGAGATGGCAAAAATTAAGTTAAAAGGTATTAATTTAACGTTTGACATTTAAGTCAAGTTATTTATTTATAGAAAATAACTGGTGATTTTGAGCTGACAGCAGCTAGTCCATGGCAAGCTTTTCCCTGGGCCTCTGGCATCCTGATGCTCTGTGCTGGCTGGGTCCCTGCTGTGAGTTTCAGGATGATTGGCAGCATCTTGCTTCTACCAATATACCACCCACCCCACCCCCAGTGATAACCCAAGATGCCTCCACATAGCGCAGATGTCCTCCAGCACCGGGGCTGCTGCCCTTCCACTGGGGACCCTGGCCTGAGGCAGCTGCTCTCCCCTTTGCTCCTCTACAAATCTGCGCTGAGCACAGAGAAGACTGGGCTTCATTTTCATAACATCTTCAAAAGCTTCCTTGATTTTGACTTTTTTTTTTTTTAATGTGGAGTGCATTTAAGACCTAAAGTAACACAAACTATAAAGTGGTTTGCAGCCTGTGGGATCTTTCCATTCACACAACTGGTGGCTAGTGTGGCATGGACTTTGTGGGCTGTTTCTGCTCTTACTAGGAGGGGGGAATATTTCCACTTTTTACAAGAGAAGGCGAGGAAGCATCTGCCTTGGTGGAAGTGGCTGGTGAGTTTCAAGTGGCAGTTACTAAAGGTCTGTGCTGTCTTGTGATGCTAAGGCTCATCCTTTTCTTAAAATTGTGTTAGAGAGAGAGAGAGAGACAGACAGACAAAGAGGATGTCTTCTATTTGCTGGGGTTCACTCCATTAAATACCCTCTCCAGCCTTGACATATATGTCTTAGCTCATAGATCTCGACAATATCAAAGTTTACCATATTCTGTATCAACAGCAGTTGTATGGGACTCTTGGTCTTCCTAAACTGAAGCTAGGAGCCTGGAATTCCATCTGGGACGCCCATGTGGGTGGCAGGGACCTACGTACCTGAGACAGCACCTGCCTCCCAGGGAGCACATTAGCGGGAAGCTGGATCAAAGCAGAGTCAGAACTCAAACCCAAGCACTCCATGGTGGTTATAGGCCATCCCTAGCAGTATCTTAGCTGCTGCATCCAATGCCTGCTCCTCTGTCTCATTTTTATGTGAATATTTTAGTGCTCTTTTAGGCTTAGCTGTTGTGGCTGGGCCCCTATCAGTGTTTTTAGTGATATCTGAAATGAAATCATGCATTTTATAAAGCAAATAGACAAGCATCAGAGTAGCAGTTATCTCCTGAAGCACCTGAATCACAATCTCCATGTTCTACTGTTGAGTTTTTCTTCTGGTCCGTAACAGATGACTGCTTTAGATTCTGGCAAAGGGAAGGAGTCATGGCTCAGCATTGCTCCATTCGGCGTGAAGTAATTCTTTCTTTCAATAAACACCTGCCGCAACAGATGCAACAGGCATTTGGCTGCTTTCACTCTGAGTTTCCAATTGTTCAACATTCAATTAACATTAGCACTGTTTTTGTCCTGAAGTTTTAGACTTTTATCTGCTAGAGTATTTTTATTACATTGGTACGATGGGATTGTAGGATTTGCCAGGGCCTGCCAGTGGGGATGTTTCTCTTGTTCTTCCCCAAGTGTCTCTGAGACTGTCCTGACAGGCTGCTTCAGTCATCCTGCTGTGTTCTACAGCACTGCCCCAGGACTCTTTCCATAACATTCCCAGAGCACCCTATGCCCCTTGGCTCCTGCTGCAGCCCCGGGACACAGCCTCCCTGCTCTTTCTGCACCCAGGAAACCTTAGTGAAGAAGGACTTTGCAGGAAGAGCTGGAAGGAGGATGAGAAAAAGATGTTTGCAACCTGTTCTGCAATTTCTCTGTGCTCATCACAGACAGAACCTCAGGAGGGTTTTGTTGTTGTTTGTTTTGTTTTTAATGAGATTGGCACTTAGCTCTTCATTTCAATCAGAAAACATCCTCAGGCCTGAAACATAGCTGAGAGTGTAATACTGTAGGTAAGGGAGAAATGTGCTCCCTAACCAGGCAGCCGGGAGCCAAGCCTGCTTCCCTGTTGGACCGTAGAGGGGTGGATGCTCATTCCTTGTTCAGACTGCACAGCCGTTGGAAGGCACGGATGCTGGGTCTCACGCTCTCTCATGCTTGCTCCAGGCAGGATGTTGGACTTCTCGCAGTACAGTCTGTCTGTGCGGTTGCCTCCTTCTTCTTCATCCTGCTGACCCTGAAGCCTCCAGGTATGATCCCCTTCTCCCCTTTCTACACACTGTAATGCTCTGGAGATCCAGTCCTGGGGCTCAGTCCTAAGGACTGGCACAAGATTTCAGAGGTGGGCCCAATGGCCAAAGCACCTGAGTTGCAAAAAGGGCTCCTCCACTTCCAGCTGTGTCACCCTGGGGGAAGTTATCTGAGCCTCTTATGCTTTGGTTTCTCCACATGTATGGTCAGAACAATGACAGTACGTACACCTGAAGGTTGAGCATTAAATGAGACCATGAATGAGAAACGCCTGACCAGTGGCTGGACTTGTTAGTGTTTCATCTATTCTCCTACTTCCGTGAACTTGGGGGTAAGACAAAGAGCTACTTCTTTTTTATTTTCTAAAGATTTTGTTTTTACTTATTTGAGAGTCAGGAAGGAAGAGAGAGAGAGAGGAGAGAGAGAGAAAGAGAGAGAGAGAGAGATTCCATCCACTGATTCACTCTCCAAATGGCCAAAAACATCTAGGGCTGGGCCAGGCTGAAGCCAGTAGCCAGGAACTCCATCTGAGCCTTCCACAGGGCACTTGGGCCACCATCCACTGTCTTCCCAGGTGCATTATCAGGGAGCTGGGTCAGAAGTGGAGTAGCCAGGACTTGAACCAGCATTCTGATATGAGGTAACAAGCATTGTAAATGGCGACTTAACCTGCTGCACCACAATGCCAGCCTCATACCATGAACTCAGTAACATAAAAGTGTTTGGAAATAAGAAATTAGAAGGAGACTTCCAAGAAATGGACTTGGAAGCCTCAGTGGTTGACTTGTTTTTTAAAGATTTATTTATTTATTTGAAAGTTGGAGTTACACAGAGAGAGAAGGAGAGGCGAGAGAGAGAGAGAGAGAGAGGAGAGAGAGAGAGGTCTTCCATCTGATGGTTCACTCCCCAGTTGGCCACAACAGCCAGAGCTGCACTGATCTGAAGCCAGGAGCCAGGAGTCTCTGCCGGGGTCTCCCACGTGGGTGCAAGGGCCCAAGGACTTGGGCCATCTTCTGCTGCTTTCCCAGGCCATAGCAGAGAGCAGGATCAGAAGAGAAGTAGCTGGGACTTGAACTGGCACCCACATGGGATGCTGGCACAGGAAGTGGCAGCTTTACCTGCTGTGCCACAGCACAGGCCCCAGTAGTTGAATTTTGTCAGTCAAAATGTTATACCTTGAAATAAAATTATGAAATGTGGATGTCAGAGAGAAAAATCAGAGCCCCAAGGAAAACATAGAATGGCAATTTGATAAAAAAATAAAAAAACAAACAAACAAACACATCCTGTGAAGACGTCAGAAGGTGGACTGCAGACTTGGTGCCGTGGAAGTTTTGTGAGGTTCTGAGGCCGCTGTCCTCTCTCTCAGTCATGCTGTGGTTTCCTAGTCTGTAAAGGACTGGCATAGCCTCAGCCCTTGCTTCATATTTGGAATAAAAAATACAAACAGATCTCCACCCAAGTTTAATGATGACTTTTTGAGCAGCATCTATTTGACAAGGAAAGGTTTGCCTCTGGAGGACGAGTGTGCACAAAGGTCAGGTGGCTGTGGGGCATTTAGATAGAAAGAGCACAGCATAAATGACAGACGAGGTCCTGAAAGTAACAACGCGTGCCAATATTAAACATCTCTGATGTGCAGGTAGCAAGGAAGGTCAGAATGATTTAGAATTGGATTGGAGGACTCAATTCTCTATGGACCACTGTGCTTAACCCACCACAGAGAGTCCTCATGGACCATGCATTGTACTTAATTCAGTCACTGCAGTCACCTTCTTTAGAGAAAGGATAAGAAAAAAGAAAATCTCATTTCCTTACCTAGACAAGAGTGAGTGATCCTGAGATGCCAAAAAGACTAATCGATGAGTTCCTTATCTAAATTTTAAGAAACTAATTAAAATGTTAATCACTAATAAGTTTTTAATAATAAATAAATTTATGTATTACTTCCCTGAGTACAAAAACAACCCAGACATGATAGTTTTAGTGTCTTAAAGATGAAGAAATTAAGAT